TCACCTCCTGGTCCACCGTAGCCTACCTATACTTGAGCTACCTTCTACCCCACACGGCGGCAGTCCACAGAACGGAATAACCGATACAGCAACGATCGATTTAGGTAACAAGACACTCACTCCTAGCGACGAGGTCAATGCTAAATAATAGCTGAGGGTTTGTGTCTGAACTTTGTAAGGCATCACTGCTTCAAGGAACATCTTATTTGGCTAAATATCTCGGGTTATTCCACATGATCAAACACCCTAACACTACCTGGGGGGAGGGGGGGGTTAAATTGTTTAATCATCCAAAAAATAAGCTAGGATGCCTAATTTTCATGTGATACATATTTTGTACCCCACACAAAAATTCACTTCATTCCAGCTTTAGTTCCACCACAGAAATAATAAATGATTCGGTTTTAAATGTAATTTCAGGGTGATCGTATCATCAGCACAGGACAGAGAGAGAGAGAGAGAGAGAGAGAGGCCTCGTGGGGAGATAATACCGCATTCTCCCAGTACATGACACTCTCTTAGCCTAGCCTACCCACGCGGACAACCAACCACCAATATCAAGCTTTAATAACTTTGTCACGTTTTACGGACACATACATAAGTCTGTAATTTATTAACTCAATACACAGGAAGTTTTCGTAAAGGTAAGGGCAAGATGCCAGCCAGTCAACACAAACTTTAAATCTCTCCTCCACCGTAAACTGATTCTAAAATACACATTATTAAACCCCAAGAAATATGTTTAGTGACTGCAGTTATATGGATATGGATTATAAAGTTATATCTTAAAGGTTTAATACAAGAAATAACGAAGTACAAGGAAAACACAACCCGTTTACACGCCATCAAAATAGATCAGGTTCACACAATGGCCTTTTAACATTCCCAAAGACTTTTTTAAGAGTGATTTTAACAAAAATAACAATACCGGTAAAAATAACAATAACAACAACATTTCAGAGTTAGCGTCACATGAAACACAAAAAAACCAGAATCAAGAGCGACAAAGCCTAATGATAAGCCTCGTTGATATATGACCAGGAATTATTTTTTCCATCAACCAGAAATTCCGTAGGTCTAGGAGAAAAATAAAAACACCGACCCTAACCCAACCAAACGTAACTTAGCGTAATCTAACACAAGCCTAACTTAATCAAATGTAATTAACAAAATAATAGTTATAGAACAGCTAAAGGTAACGGCAGAAATAACTCCCAGTAGCTGACGAACATAACATTGAGAAACCTAACCTAACCAAACCAACACTGTTCCATCTTCATTGTATAGGTTAGGTTAGGTTAGGAGTTATGTTGTTACAGTCACGCTAGGCGAGGTTTGATTAGGTAATATCAAGATCAGGTTAGGTTAGCGATAATCAGGTCAGGTTAGCGATAATCAGATTAGGTTAGCGATAATCAGGTCAGGTTAGCGATAATCAGATTAGGTTAGCGATAATCAGGTTAGGTTAGGTTAACGATAATCAGATTAGGTTAACGTTAATCAGGTTAAGTAATCGTTAGTCTGGTTAGCTTATTGTTAGCTTAGGCTGCAATATTGCTATTTTTTTGCCTCCACTACAGAATTTCTGGTTAGGGAAAACAATGGCAGTCCAGGAGGCAGTGTGTGTGGCTCCTTGATGAATGGACGAATTTCCATTACTGTAACAATGAACCAAATGCGAGGCCAGTACAGCACACCTAAACATTTTTCCCACTGAATTTACGCAGATCTCACCAAACCTAAACATTTTTCCTACTGAATTTACACACACCTAACCCAAACATTATCTTAATTTACACACACTTAACCTAACCCAAACATTATCTCACTGAATTTACAAACATCTCAATTTTATAACCTTGAGAGACATAAACCCAGGAATCCGGACCAGTCAGGAAAAATAAATACCACAGCCTCGACTGAATCACACGAAGAATAGCCCACCTTTGTTTATTTCGCCTCAAGATTAACTACCCTAACGCTGATCTAACCTGATACACCAGTAACTTAACCTAGCCTCCCCTTCCTAGGTAGCATTAGGAAGGTTTAATAATCAGTTGAAATAAGTTGGGTGGCTATTCTTCCTGTGATTCTTCAATTTGTTAAGTCAAAAAGATGAGCCAAGCGCGACATTTTTTCCCCATAAAAGAATTTCAGTTTCAATAATATTTTTCCTTCCTCCTGTTACGAGGAATGTTTATCGTAAGAGCTTTTGGACACGCGGACCCAAAGACCCTTCCTTACTGCTAGCATGCCGGCCGAGTGTCACTGCTTGTGCGATGTTGAGCGCTGTTACGATTAATTTTTCCCGGCATTTTATTTCCCTTTTACAATACTATCATTCTGAAATCTCTACCTGTTGTCTTGTTTGAGATGACGAGACAGTAATACACACTGTTGACGAGTCATAATTCTGTAGTGTTATCTTTTTGTAATCCGCGCTATTGTTTCTGAGATGATGCGGCAAAACGTACTACTTCTGTTCACTCATCCAGGAGTGTTTTGTGTGCTCCTCTCAGCCTGTAATGACTGCATTGTTTGTAATCTGTATCCGTATTGTACACTAATCCAAAGTATGTAATGATTATGTAACGGTTATTCTGAAATCTATCTGTATCGCCGTTTTCCAGTTAATAATATGAATCTGCACTGGGCTGACAGACGCGACCAACCAACACGTCAATACATGTTACACTCCACCGTGGGAACAAGTGTGAGGCAGGGATGTGCTGTAGTGTCTTGGCACATCATTAATGAAAAAACAAACTTAATCTAACCATAAATGAAGAAAAACAAAGCGGCCCCAAATGAACCTGCTTCAATAAACTTACAATACGTTTATGTTAGATTGATTCATTTCCATTAGTGCACTACAAACAAGTAACAACACCTCGCCTTAAGTGTGACGACACATGTTACATTACATTATGACAACGAGTGTGAAATATGAGATGCACACGAGCCAGGTAGAGGCGACACAACGAGACAAAGGAAATACACAACACGACTCCCTTGCCCGCCAACTCACCATTGGAAAGCGACGCAGCGGTAAACTAGTCCCCTGTTGTCATATATACACACAGACAACAGGTGTTTACTGCCGCAATGACGGTGACTTATTCGCTAACAGCTGTGAGATAAGTTGCAGTCAAATCAACTAGAACGTGGTGAAATTTACGACTTGTAACAAACACACAGCTTTGTTTTCATTACGAATAAAAACAAGTTAGCTGTCGTGTGCGCCGTGTTGTTTTGACGGCCACTGTTCTCAATGGTTATCAAATCAGACGCAGAAGTTGATACCTGCTGTCTATACATATGAGAACAAGGGACCAACCAGCTTCACTGATCAACAGCAAGGACGCAAGATACCTAACCATTTTAACGAACAGATGACACACACCTAACAGGGTGATCCAAGAAGAGTTGTTTGTTCATATTGCTTGAAGAAAAAAAATAAAGACTTCGCGACACTTAACATTGACCATTTTACAGCAGCTATGACTCCTGCCTCGTGTCGGCGGCCTTGCAGACCCCACCAGTCGTGCCACACTATTCCATTTACATTATGCTCTACGTATTAAACCAACGAAAAATACCGGTATTTAAACTAGCCTCCAGTGGCATGGTAACGGAGAAAATAAGGATATACGGTAATTACTGGGGCCAGATTCGACTAGACCAGAGACGAGACAAACCCCAATAAAGGAATATTTCAAGATCATCAAGATAGATTTACTTGGTTTGTGTCATCTGGCATCACAAATGATTAAAGGATCTGGCCCGAAACTTCATCCTTGCCAAAGGTATTGCATTGCCTGAGGCAACAACAAGAGTCTTGCAACCCCCGACGCTCGTGTCGTCACAGCCCCGCCATCTACGCTATATACTAAACCGCCCATGAATAATGATAAATTATTATTCTCACCGCCAACTAGAGCATAAAAAATCATTGCTTCGGTTACAACATAGTGAGCAACCCTGGCCGCTACAGCACTTCCTGCTGTAAGTAAGCGTTAACCTACAACAACAGTTGTTCCCGTACACTTGCCAACAGCGCGCTGAGAACTTGACCGGCCACCCTACCGGCTAGTAACCCGACAAGTGTGGAAGAAGATAAATATATAAATTATGAATAATGAAACTGATCCAGGCTGACTCAGGGCCCAGGAACAAAACCAACTACGCTGTAAGAGGCAACGCTGACCCGCTCTACCCATTCCAGAGAATCTGGCGGCAGATCAACTGACCCCAGGGTAAGAATGACGAAATCCAGCTTAACCTGAGCCTCACCTTGGGTTGGGTGAGGTAGTGAGTGAGGAGTGGGGTAGAGGAGGGGGGACGAGGCGGTCATGGGGGTGATGGGGAGGGGGGTGAGCACAATCAGCTGACATGTGGTGTAGTCAGCTCACACCACCACCCTCCCTCCACACACACACAGTTCCTCCCACTTTCACGTTCTCGTGGTAACTTGGTTTACTGTGGCGTTCAGTACTCCACTATCTCGTGCACCACTACGTCGGGGTTCGATAAATCAACGCAGGACTAAGTTAAATACCGCAGGGTTATGGACTGTTTAAAGCGATGGCTGGTTAACATCTCGCCACCCACAAGTCGCACACTAATTAACTCTAATTCTTCATTTATTAAATTAATTTAGCTTTTTTTGGCTAACCCTCAGTGAACTCGAGATATGTGAAGCTTAGTATAGCTGGTGGTGACTTCAGCTCCTGCCCCGACGTTATTCTACTTATCGATCCGTTTTGTGGTTTCTCGCTAAAATTAAATCTCTGTGCATCTCCCCGACGACGCGCGGACCCTCGGAGCGACAACCTTAGGAACAAACCTCTTCTAAAACATTAAGAAACTAGAACTTTTCCGACCAGACTACAGCCAAGGTGATGTGGCTTCCCACCGATTTCAAAACACACGTCCCGATACTGTTCAACTACCCCTGAGTGTGTGTGTGTGTGTGTGTTTCTCAAGTTGGATCCACTTACCTCGACGGTTGAAGGGCCGGACCCTCACAGCCACTCGTATCTTATCCATGACGAAGGACTATTTGAAACACCAAAACACCGAATATATTTTAAAATTCACTCCATATTGAGACACTATCTAAGTTGTCACACGGACGACGGGCACTACCTCCCTCCTCACTCGCTCATCACAAACTGAGTCACAACATCCGGGGCTCTGAGAACAAGTCGCTCGCGGCGATAGCTCTTGCCAGGCGTCACCATATTCTTATCTTTAATCATTACGAAACATTCTCCTGGGCAATTATATATTATTACTAGTTTTAATCTAACATGTGTATAATATATATTAAAATGTGAAACGATACAATTAGAAGTTCCAAATGTAAATAAGAATATATTGCTATTTTATGGAGATAGTTAAAAGTCCATTTTCTATGACCCGCCAGTGATTTCCAGGGTAACTTGTGTATAGTATATTCTGCACACGAACCTACCAAGAGTAAGATCCTGAAAAAACAAAAAACTAGTTACCAGACGATAACCACCAATTTGATCTATTAACGTATATTTCAACATAAAGAAACGAATTTACATATCTACTTCTTAATTATCTTACTCTACCCAAATTGTTTTAAATCTTAATTATGCATCACATGGCTACAATCAGTCTTGCGAGTCTTGTTATACATACCTGAGGTTATTCATTAAAACATGGCCCTACACTGAGCTTTATCACCGACCTAAACTAAACCAGTACCAACATGGCCAACTCTCAGTTTGGATGGCCATAAGGTAAATAAGAAAAAGGTATCTCTAGTTTAGGTGACCAAAAGGTAAACATGGCCACCTGCAGTATGGATGGCCCTTAGGTAAAGACGGTACCCGGCCACACGACAACACTGCTCATCCACTCACTACACGTCCGACCTTCACCCAACACAGACAACAACAACAACAACAACAATAATAACATTATAATAACCATAGTAACCATAATAATAATATAATAATAATAAACCTGCCATAACAGGTCTCGGAAATGACTGGCAGTTGTCCATACTACCAAACGTAACCCTCAGCTTGGCACACCGTGTGAACCAGCGAGAGAGAGAGAGAGAGATCACGTCTAAGTCATAAAACGCTCACTCGTAGCTAACATTACAACACATCACCTGTCAACAACAATCTTAATAAGGACTAATTGAATCGATCATTTCACCTGGTTACTTAATTACCTAACGCTACCTGGTTGGGTTAGTGTTAGGGTGATTAAACTTAAGGTGAAATAACTTAGGGTTAACATTCAGGTGATCTAATAAATTAATTAGATTTTGAACAGGTGGAACAGGTGTGTGAAGATAATAAGACATGAATCAATTGAAAGGACACAACGGATATGGCAGAGGACGAAATATGGAGGAGAGAGGAAGAGGAATGCCTGGTACTGTACAATGACGTATGTGAAGCAATGAAGATAATGGAGATGGAAGGCACCTAACCTAGCCTAACCTAACCTAACCTAGCCTAACCTAACCCAGAGGACGTGTTAAATATACGAGATGGAAGGTTTAAAGTTAGCATTACCGGGCCAACAGAGACACAGAGAAAAGGTGTGACCAACACGAGAGTGAGGTGGACTACCCAGTGTCAAGGAACAACAGACACACACCAACGGCACTGGCTAATCATTACTCCGGAACACGATCCCCCCAGTCGATTAACATTGAGGTCCCCAGTTACCGGTGGCAGGGTACACGGAGGCGGGCGGTGTAGAGGAACTTACCCAGTTTTACCCTCAGGGGATACAACCCGAGACTCCTCGCTTATGAGCCGAGTATGTTGACCATTACACCGAGGGTAGGCAGACTTATTTATTTATATATTAGGTTGTGTTAGGTTGAGTCAGGTTAGTTTAAACTGGGTGTGACTAGGTTAGGGTGGGTTATTTTAGGATGGTTAGGTTAAGTTAGTTTAGGTTAGGTTAGGTAAATCCACCAACGAGGTGTGAAGCAAGAACTGCAAGGGTGGAGGCAGGAGATTTAAAATGACGAGAACACCACCCCCCCCCCACACACATCCCACATCCATACATACCCACACCCCCACACCCCCACCCCCTCACATACAGGTTTCATAAACAGAACTGCATCAAGACTTTTCTCAACCCACAAACCGGACCCTTGAGAATGGTGTGTGGAGTATTCTGAACCAACACAACACAACACAACACAACACAACACAACACAACACAACACAATACAACACAACACAACACAAGCATAAATGATTACTAAAAAAAAACTTCAGGTGTATGGAAACAAATATAATGAAAATTAATAGTAGTGAAGATGTTTAGCGGTAGTGCAGGTTGTAAGGCAGGTACAGGTATGGTTAATGAACGAGTAGTGTCCTATATATATTAACTGGAGGTGGCAGTCCTTATTGTTGCCGGTAGCGTAGCATTATATGACCTACATGAATCTAAGGACTTATCAAGGAAAACAAAGGCCAGACTGTATGATGTAATGGTTTTGTTATCTCTCAACTTAATCATCAGAAACATTGAGCTATGACTGTCATACCGGAAATAGTAATTCGCTTCTTATGCAACAACCAAGGAGGAAGACCTGCACTGCTTAACCAAACAGCCTCTGGTGCCACCTTATAAAAGCATCACCAGTGTCTGAGACGGGTGGGACGTGTTTTGCCGAATGTAGGACGCTGGGGCCAAAGTGGTTTGGACCTAATCTAATCTAACATAACCTGACCTGACCTAACCTAACCGTGGCCCAAACGTCCGCTCACCGTTTTCCCAGCCAGTGGTGACACATTCACCGGAGCAGCTTTATGAGAGAGACGCTGGCAGTAGAGGACCTCGATGGAGACCCAGACGACGCAATGTGATGTCTTAAGATCCACAGCTACTGACGAAGGACCCAAATACCTGAGAGTTGCTGAAGGAAGCTCGACGAGGGTGGGAGCGGCCAGCGGTGTACTGTAAACTGAACTATTGTGCCGGAGGTGTAAGAAAGTTAAAAGGTAATCGCGAGTTAAGAGAATGGTAACGAGAAACAGGAGTGAGTCGGTACCGGGGATATGAACGAATCTTTGGGTAAATATGGAATACCAGAAATAAATGGTAAGAGGAAGAGACTGATATAAATCTGCTGGGAGAGGATAACGAAAAAGATATTATTGTGTAAAGGAAAATTCACAAGTAAACATGGAGGCGTGTCTGGATGATGCGGGCAAGAGGCTGGCAGTCAGATCACGCGTTGGTACACATGTGTAATGAAGCGACACTAACAGGACCACGCCACCTTAGCTTCCCATGAACCACTGTACTGTTTACCTCTGAGAGAATGACTTACATACGTTCGCTCAACTATCCCTGGGGAGAAAATAAAGAGGACGTACCTTGGAAAACACGTAGAGAGAGAGAGAGGTGAAAGCCGTCTTCATCACCATAAACACGTCAAGTATCTCTTCTTCGCAATCCTTCAACAGCAAGATCTCATATTCCAGCTGTGCAATTTATGGATCTCATTAGTTGACAAACATCAACACAGGTAAATGATAAGAAGAACAGGTATATATAAATTTCAATATCATAATACACATCAGATCAAACTATATACATCTGTTAGTGAGGAGTTTGTATAGTATCGTTAATTAATGTAGTCATCCCACTCGTACTGTACACGTTTTAATGCGGACAGGTTGTTGTTTCACGTGAGTACAGTTCTATGCTCACCTTGGGGTCTTAATAAGGTAGCTAGTCAATGCAGCTCTCATGCTTAGTCTAATTTTGTTTGGTAAGGTCATCATGCACAGCTCTCCTGCACCCCCATCACACACTAAACTAACACCTATCACCTATATGGTCGAGAGTAACAATCTACAATAACCGGTCGTCACCCTTAGTACCACAAGTGACTTCCACCTGTTTATACTCTCTCAGCTGATATGCCTGCGTCGGATCAGCTGTTATTGTTGTGATGGCGCGCCCTCTGCCGGACTCCCGCGCTCTATTGTGGGAAAGATTTAGAGGACATGGTGGTGGTACCTTTTTATATGGCTACTGACGACGTGTAGATGTGTGTGTCCTCTTTACGCTCTAACACACACACACACACACACACACACACACGCACACACACACACACACACACACACACACACACACACACACACGGCCCCTTAAGTATAATAGATCCCAAATACATAATGTATACTTTATTGGTTTAACATAAGATAATAATCACCTTGATGACCGAACCTAAGTTACTAAGTTCTGACCAGATTACTCACACCTGTACCTGTGTTGGTAAGGGGTGATTATCTAGCCTCCTTTAACTCTCTGTTAGGCAGCGGGGCACTCCACCTTGATGCCATACACGACAATTCGGGGAGACAAGAGAGGGCGAGGAGGGGGGAAGGGGGGCGAAGACGGAGAGGGGGTGAAGAGTGGGAGGGAGAGCCGGTGAGGAGGGGGATGAGAGGGGATCGCCGTGGGGAGGGGTGGGGATCGCCTCCTACACCCTATAAGGCAGGTGATTAGTATGGCTGGCGTATGAGAAGTATTTTGATCTCACTTAATATGTAACCCTCTCTTATTAAACCCCTTTACGACCATCAGAGGTGAGGGGCCAAGGTTTAGTGAGGGTTGAGACCAAAGCTGCAGTAACAGTAGGTCTCTCTCTCTCTCTCTACACACACAGACACACACACACATACCGTAAACACAGACATATACATACACACACACATACAGTACACATATACTGTACACACACACACTCTGCGCACACACACACACACACACAAATAATCATAGTCATTTAGCTGTCAGTAGATAAAACATCTTAATGAAGTCTGTAAGGCCAGAGCCTGCCATTGGGCTCACCCACCGGCCTGACGACCCATGAGGGACAGTGTAGATAACAGCACACTGTTCCCCAGCCTGGAGTACACCAGCAGCGTCGGTTAACCTAACCTAACCAAACTATTTAACCTAACCTAACACAATCTAATCAAACAATTTAACCTAACCTAACCCAACCAATCTAATCTAACCCAACCTACCCAAATAATCTAACCTAATCTAACCAAGCTAAACGGTCTGCATCATTCCAGAAGCACGAATGGTTGACGACACATACTACACACCTCAACACCACACCCTCAGCACACCCCA